CCCGGGTCTGTACACCCGCTGGGCCCATTATGAGGGGCCCCCACCATCCCTGAGCTGAGTTCCCGGGTCTGTACACCCGCTGGGCCCATTATGAGGGGCCCCCACCATCCCTGAGCTGAGTTCCCGGGTCTGTACACCCGCTGGGCCCATTATGAGGGGCCCCCACCATCCCTGAGCTGAGTTCCCGGGTCTGTACACCCGCTGGGCCCATTATGAGGGGCCCCCACCATCCCTGAGCTGAGTTCCCGGGTCTGTACACCCGCTGGGCCCATTATGAGGGGCCCCCACCATCCCTGAGCTGAGTTCCCGGGTCTGTACACCCGCTGGGCCCATTATGAGGGGCCCCCACCATCCCTGAGCTGAGTTCCCGGGTCTGTACACCCGCTGGGCCCATTATGAGGGGCCCCCACCATCCCTGAGCTGAGTTCCCGGGTCTGTACACCCGCTGGGCCCATTATGAGGGGCCCCCACCATCCCTGAGCTGAGTTCCCGGGTCTGTACACCCGCTGGGCCCATTATGAGGGGCCCCCACCATCCCTGAGCTGAGTTCCCGGGTCTGTACACCCGCTGGGCCCATTATGAGGGGCCCCCACCATCCCTGAGCTGAGTTCCCGGGTCTGTACACCCGCTGGGCCCATTATGAGGGGCCCCCACCATCCCTGAGCTGAGTTCCCGGGTCTGTACACCCGCTGGGCCCATTATGAGGGGCCCCCACCATCCCTGAGCTGAGTTCCCGGGTCTGTACACCCGCTGGGCCCATTATGAGGGGCCCCCACCATCCCTGAGCTGAGTTCCCGGGTCTGTACACCCGCTGGGCCCATTATGAGGGGCCCCCACCATCCCTGAGCTGAGTTCCCGGGTCTGTACACCCGCTGGGCCCATTATGAGGGGCCCCCACCATCCCTGAGCTGAGTTCCCGGGTCTGTACACCCGCTGGGCCCATTATGAGGGGCCCCCACCATCCCTGAGCTGAGTTCCCGGGTCTGTACACCCGCTGGGCCCATTATGAGGGGCCCCCACCATGCCTGTGCTGAGTTCCCATGTCTGTACACCCGCTGTGCCCAGGTGTAGGTGCTGCGTCCAGGGATTTACATCTGTACATAAGTACCAGCGTTCACCCGCATACAGCTGCTTGTGCCCGTTGACCTCTATGGGAGGCTGTACATACTACCTTTGTACATGGGCCCATAAGAGGGCAGGTGCTTTCCCAACCCCCCCAGGCTCCGCCTATAACTAAATCATCAGTGACCTTCAAAGGGAACATTTTCTTGGTTTGCTTTTAGTAACGTTGTAACTTTTCCTTTATAATAGTGTCACAAAGTAAACCATACAAAAGCTGCTGTGATGATTATTAGGGGTCTAGAGTCCTCAGACACAAGCAGGGGACAGTCGCAGAGGGGGAGGGGGGGAAGACAGATATTTGGGGGCTATGCACAGGGGGACCCCCAAAACAATTAGAGGCATGGAGAGAAGAGACTTACGGGTCATATGGCCGATCAGCAGCAATAAGTACATGGCTCCGGGTGGTAGAGGGGTCTCCGCTTGAATCCTCGCTCTGCTCCCTCTGGTGCTGTGTCATCCTCCACACTCTTAGTAACTACCTCCACACACAGATGGGACATATGCCGCGCACAGATAAGCAGCCAAAGTCCTATCAGCCCTGACAGCCTTATCTCCCATGTCCCACCAGGGGCTCCTTCACACTACAACTCTTACCAGGATCCAACTTGCTGGTCAAATGCCGGAATAAACATGGATGCCGGGCTCGGCTGTGCGTCACGTTGATGGCGGGGGAGGGCGAGACACATTGTCATTATTCAGGATTTACTGTATATAGAGCCAACCTGGAGAACTCGATGGGCTTGTGTCTTTCTTCAACCCAACACATTGTGCTGCACTATACAGCAGTGCTCCCCAACCTTTTTATCGCCGCGGACCGGTCAACGTTTGATCATTTTAGCGCGGCCCGCTGAGGGGGGGGGGGCATTGATTGTTTATATTTTAGATTGTTTTGATTTAATAATTTTAATTTGTGCTGTCAGTGCCATTATTTTCTAATGGCACCACAGTCGTGCCAGGCAGATTGAGCGTTTTCCTGCTGCAATACAGCCCTGCCCGTGTGGTTGCACACAA